TTTTTTTCCAGAAGTTTTTACCGTAATCCTGCGGTAATTAAAGGAAATCGGTGATCCAATTTTACTGCAAATCTATGCTGAAGCCATTCCCACGAACGTGAAAATTTGCAAAGGTTGTTTGGTCAAGAGGCTCAACGATCCCGATCAAACTTTCGCCACAGTTTTTGGTACACCGTGTATATTCTTTGTAATCTTAATCAAGCTCTCAAAAATGCACACATATGAATTGTTTTGTCTGACAAAGCAATGTTTCCAAGCACAGACATTTGTCTTTCCTTCATTTTCTTCGTCATGCGTCTACTCTGGTTGACTCCCTTATTCCTGGTTTCCGTAGATGCTACTTATATCGGTGTTGCTGGGGAATTGATATGTCCTAATCCATACGACAATATCGCTTCCATTTTTCTGATGGAAAGAGATTTTGGAAGAAGTATGTTTTGTACCTATTTGTCTGTAGCCTTTCTCTTGTTCCTTATGAAATAAATTTAGCAATTTTTGATTCTATTGATGACGACGACGTGTTAGATTATAAAGAGATCGAGCTGAACAAACCATTCGAGATCGGCGGCTCTGAAACTGAAATATTTGGACTTGAACCATACATTTACTTGAGATATAGATGCCTGGAGGTTAGTGGAAGACTGAAAATAAGCAAAGTTATTTTTGCTCTTCTGCGCCGGTAAAAAATGGAATTCAGACTTGTTATAATGACGTCATCATTCAAGCTTCATTTATCGTATCACCTGTTTTACCGCTTTTCCAAAAGTTAGCCACCACAGCGTTGGCACCAGATGACAGTAGTGTGATTTTGAGAGTATTACCATTGCTATTATTCAGGATTATAAAGAGGAAGTCATAAATCTTGGCGACACTCAGTTCAGGGATCGTGTGTTTCACCTTCGTAAAAATCTCATAAGCGGGAAGACAATTTTGACTTGATTGGCAAATAAATTTTGTATATATTATGAGTTATACTGTATCTTTTCCAAGTCTCAAAACTGTGGAAAGGATTTTTATCCATAAGGCAGGGAAGAAAGTGTTCCTAAAAATGGTTGACGTGAGGAGGGTTTGTTCGGCAGCTGGTCTGGAAAAGAAGCTGCGTGTTTTGAGTGTCTGTTGAACGCTTATGTGAATTATACTCAACATATATAGGCACCTAAATGTCTCAAGGAAGCTCTGACACTTTTACGGATTTAGCACAAGCTTTTGGGAACACTTGCATCAAGATCTACGCGGGCAAAGGGGCACTTTGAAAAGGAGATCTTGAAGCTCCAGATGTTTGGATTCTTTTTGCCTAATCTCGTATGATTTTACTATATTTTATCAACTAGTGAGCAAAAGCGTGTCGCTGTATAAGCCACACCCAATTTTATAAACGCTAATTAGCATAAATCAATTTAATCACCCGCTTTAGAAATTGTTTATTCGTCAAGCAATTATCTCCATACATAAAGCAGAAACTTTGTGTGTTTGTGTACATTTCCATAATCATGAAGGAAAAGCGGTGAAGCTCATTGATCTGTTAATC